AGGATCGTGTCCTGGGACATGGAACAGGGAGGGGAGGAGGGGAGAGTGAGGGTGGAAGGGCAGAAGGAATGTATCCAGCATGCAGGGCATGACCACTGTCCTAGGTTCTCTAGAAGCAGAGCCTGAGATGGAAATTTTATGCAAGTGACTCCTGGAGACACTGCTCGAAGGAGAACCGTGTGAGGGAGAGAACAAGAGAAGAAGGATGGGCCAGGGGAAGGAGCTGGGCAGAGATGTGGTTTCAGGATTAGTCGAGCTGATCCAATGGGTTGCTTTGGAGCAAAGGGACAGAAATTGTCCAGCTCAGAGGCAAGGGGGCTGGACTGTTGTACCCACACACACACTGACGAACACTTTTAGTTGATTATTGGCCGTGGAATTTACCTGATATAACTGGCCAGGCCTCTCCTGGTAAGGGGGCTTGGTCAAGGGGGCTTGGTCCTTCGGTCAAGGACAAGCCTTAGGAGAAGAGGGCAGCCATGAGCCATTAGCCACCAACATCCACCACAGCTAGGGGATGGATGCAGGGACCGGGTGGGTGGACCTGGGTGGGCACCAATAGCATCTGCCAGAAGGATATGTATCACCTTGTCAACAGGGGATATAGCTCTGGGTGATGGGGTAAAAATCATTCTTCGTTTGTGCTTTTCTCTAGTTTACAAATTTTCCAACATTGATTCTGTTATTTTTGGAACTAGAAAATACACGTTAAAGTAAATTCATGCAGCAAAACCACCTGGTTTATTGCAGGCAAAAGTAACAGTAAATGGCCCCATATTCCTGCGGTGACATCTCGACCACACCAGGCAGATGATCCCTGCTCACTATTAGCAATGCAGTCCTAAAGCCTCGCCCTGTTTTTCTACTTGTCATCAGAGCTTCTCTGCTTAGTTACCAGGCTCAGTGGGCCAGTCCTTTAGCACTTAACAGGTGCCAATTGTATGGCTCATAATCAAGTATGTAATTAATGTGGCTAACGGAGAGGGGCACCAGGAGGAGACAAGACAGCTGGGGTTGGACCGTGAATAATAATAAGTACAATGTATGTGCCAAACATGTGGGAACCTTTGTATATGTTATCTTATTTCATCCTTACAACAGCCTATGAAGTAGGAATTGTTATTCCTATTTAATCAATGAGGAAGTCCTTGGATTGGGGATTAAGAAACCGGAGTTCTGATTTTTGATCAGCCGTCAATAAAAACTGCAAACACTGGACCAAATGAATGGTTTTCGAGCCTCTGCTGAGATGCCCAGGGAGTGGAGGAGCTGCTGAGAGGGAAGGAGTGGCCGTTTGTATCTCAGCCACAGCAGCTCTGCCTTGATCTTTAAGTATTGGCAGGACTGGCCTCAGGGTCTGCCGAGCTCAGAAGGGCTTCTGTGCTTAGGACCTAATGCTCTTCAGCGTTCTGGAAACTTGTAATAATTTTATCTTTTATTCTGTGGTTTGTAAGTGAAATCCTATAGAACAGTGGAGCTCGTGCCAGGGGCTTGGAGCTCTGACTCATGCTTGGGTCCACTTCCTGTCGCCTATCTGCCTCCCTGGGATGTGTTCTCCACCACCTGCTCTTGGCCCCTGGTGCCCTCAGCCTCCTTTTTCTGCCTCAACCTCCTCCTCCTGGGTTAGCAACTGGGTTGCATTGTCGGGGGGAGAAGGAAGGGAGCCATGTTCCAGGGCCTCTAAGTCCCACAGGGGCCTGACCAGGCATATGGGGTCAGAAACATGTCCTGAAGGTGTTAGATAAGAGGGTGGCCATCCCCACACAGGCTGGAAGCACCATACTGCATTCAATGGATGCTCTTATGTACCCTCAACCCAGATACCAGGTCATGAACAACATAGAAAATGGTAACATTTTTAAAAATTTTTTTAAGTTTACTTATTTTTGAGAGAGAGAAACAGAGAGAGAGAGAGAGACAGAGACAGAACATGAGCAGGGGTATGGCAGAAAGAGGGAGACACAGAATCGGAAGCAGGCTTCAGGCTCTGAGCTATCAGCACAGAGCCCGATGCTGGGCTCGAGCCCACAGACCATGAGATCATGACCTGAGTCGAAGTCGGATGCTTGACTGAGCCACCCAGGCCCCTCGAAAATGGTAACATTTGTATATCCCACTGTCGTAAACAGTCAAGGTAGTACTGGCTAGCCTTGAGTCCCACTCAGGAGCCTCAAGAGCTGAAGGCAGTTCCACCCTAGACTTAGGTAGATGGGGTCTCTGCCTTGGTCTTGTGTTCCCTTTTCTGCCCCATCCCACTTGGCCCCACTCTTTCCTAGATAACAGGGTAAGTTATCCAGGGGCCAAGGGAACATACCTGCCAAAGCCCGCAGCCCTTCTTCAGCATCCGTTGCTTCTCCCCCCACCCCCAGTCCAATACAAACAAATGTGTGGTCTCACTGTGCGTGACTAATACATAGCTCACACCACTTGGGACTCACCGTGTGAATCTGACAGCCCTAGAACTGGTCCATCCGCCATTAAGTCAGAGAAGTTCAGTCACCGTCAGATGTTCCCAGCAACAGAAATTTCTAAATGCTTGCATTCAGTTTATATACTTAAGGCACAGCAGACCAGTAACAACAGTTTGGTCCCTGGATCACACGAAGAAGCTCTGTTCTAGATTATTCTATGGGTGCTGAGACTCTGGGATTACCAGCCCAAATCACACCAAGCCTGCTTCCAGGTTTTCATGGGCCTCTTCTCCCGATTCATTCACTCCCCTGGGCCAAGGGGCAACTGTTCACAGAGAGCAGTAGGGATGGAGATTGAATACGTGTGCTGGGGTGTCCATACGCATGCGTCTGAGGCCCTTTTGGTATGGGACGGAAGGGGGTATGGAAAGAGAAGGGGAATAGGCTGCCAGCTGATGGAGGAAGGGGCCACAAGGATTTGGGGCAAGAATCCATTTCTCTGCACGTCTGGAACACTTCCACAGGGCCCCCTCGTTCTACAGCCTGCCAGTCAGGAAACTCTAGCAACCATTTTCTATTGTGACTTTCAGTGTTTTGAATTCTGATTTCTATCCCATGGCCACAGCTGAGGGCCTCTTAGGTTTTTGTAGAGCAAGTGGGTGACCTGTGGATGTACGTATGTGTTCTTTGGATCACTGCTTCCTCAGGTTTGATGGGACTGTGGCCTCATCAGCTCTGCCTAGTCAACCAGCCCTCCCTCTCATTGTGTACCAAATAAACTGTGCTTCTGACGTGTGCTTCTTGGCAAATAATTTCTCAACAACCTAGGAAAGGATTTTTTTTTCTGTTTTCCTTAAGTGTGATTAAAAGCGAACCCAGGCTAACACCCCAAAAGAAAGATAGGCAAATGACTTGACAACTAAAACACACACACACACACACACACACACACACACACAATTAGCCAATAGGCACACAAATAAATATGGTATCTCTACTAAATCAAGAAGTGTGGATCCAAGCAATGAGATACTTTATTTTGCCTCTTAAGTTGGCAAAGATGAGAA